CCCCAAAACCCCAAAACCCCAAAACCCCTTAGCGGTGGGGAAGGTTGATAAAGTTTATATTATTAATTTAGAAAAATAATATGGGTGAGTTCAAGAGGGAAGGGAATTTAGGGAATTTTGATGGAGAGAAGGGAATTATACAGGGAATTTAGGGATGGTAGAAGATTTGGTTAGGGAGATAAAGCAAATTTGTTTTGAAGGTGTTTGAAGCTGTAATTGGTATGATGGAATTTTATGTTAATCGGATATTAGCTAGAGAAGTTCTGGAATTTTGTATAAGGCAGTTTAGAGATCAATTACATTTGTTTGTTCAGTTTTTACCTAAAAGCATTCTAAATGTATCGTTTAATTATTTTTCTTCTTATTTCCAATATGTTATCATTATTTTTTATTAATAGTTATCTGTAGCCTCCAAAATATTAAATATTTTATCATACCTACCTCATATACTAAAATACCGATCTGTAGCTTTAGAAATTCTGATAGAGTCTCTAACAAAATTGACTCCCAAATATAAATTTCCAAATGAAGTTGCATAATTATTTTCTAAAATACCAGACGATTTATTTCAAAATTCAATTTATTAGAAATAACCTTCATGTCTTGGGTATCTCTATCTCCATTTATTTGCTCCTTTTCAGTTAGTCTACTGCTCTATTACTTTGAGTTTTAGCTCAGACATACCTAAAGTCTAGTTGAAACTCTAAAGCAGGCAGATCATTACTCTTTAGGGTTTATTTCTCTATCGAGCTGATGTAAAACTAGCGATCACTTCTTTCAAGATACAATCCAATTTTGCTTAAAACTTTGACTTATAACTGGAGTCAGTAGTACTTCGGTTAAAAACTCAACATTTATGCCAAAAATGTCAACAAAGCTTCATTCGCAAAATTTTAATTAGTGATTTAGCTGAGAATTATTAAAGCACATTAAGGTTTAACCTTCAATTTTTAAAATTACTAATTTTAGCTTTATATTCCAATATGATTATTCAGAATTTTAAAGGAAATTTACATAAAGAGATCTCAGAATTCGTCTGAATATTGATATAGGAAAAGTTATTCTGCTTGTGTTTATCATGCAATGACTGAGAATCATCAACTGTAATGTAATCGCTACATACAATTTGCATGGCTTGAGTTCTGCAACTAGTATTAGCAGTACAGAGGATCCAAGTGGTCAACCAACTTTAGAATTTCCAGGTAAGCCTATTTTTATAATTGTAGCCGCTACTGCAGAGAAGCCAACATTTGAAACAGAAGGTTTAAAATTTGTTGAAGGACAGTAAGAAGTCGACTAAAGACTTCCTTCTAACTTTCATAGGTACCTTACCTTTTCTGGATACTTCGATAACCAAGGAGCAGACTACTTTACCGTGAACATCTGGATAAAGAGAAATAATTAAGAAGCTTTATGACTTTATGCGTGTGGGAAATAATTTTACAACGGCCGGGTAAGTTAGTCCATAAATAAGATTTAAAAACATCTTAAGCTGTAGTGCTTGATAAAAGCATCTGCTAAAGTAACATTAGAGGAGTTAGATCCTTCTCAAGGATTAGTTTGATGGGTAAAAATAAGGGCATGACTTAATAAGCAGAATTTATTTGATTATTTGCACCATTTACATATTCTGGTGATTGGAAATTTTTGTCAAATTTTCTCAATTCTAATTTCGAACTAAACATTAATGTTAACTTTTCTTCCTATAAACCCCTTATTTTTCAAACCAATCGTAATTTTAGGTATGCACAAGGAGTCGGTGAAATATCAGGAGTGACTGACAACGATGGGAGCCACGCCAACGTAATGGTTAATGGAGCTACAGTCAGCGGAATCAGTGAGAATTTCTTAGGTAAATTCTCATAGAAATTTAACCATGCATAAAATGTCTTATCTAACCTTTTTAGAGGACACATGGAGCCTAATAGGATTCGGATGGGGAAAAGTAAGGAATTAAATTAGTAAATTTTGGATGCCACTTTCCTTATCATCTAAGTTGGACTAGTCAAGGACTATAGATCAAAACAATAGGGTTATATTAATAGCAAATTTCTACAACTCTGATGGTCATTTTAATATGAGTGTCAACAAAGTAAACTTCTTTCAAACTTATTGCTGAGGGTAGCTATTTTTGAAAATTTCATAAAAGTTCATTTGTATATTTCTGAAAAATATAAATATGATGCTTATATTATTTTCTTTGGAGTATATTAGTGAAATTATAGATATAGAGATTAAACATAGAAAGTTAGAAGAGTATTATTTTCCCTTAATTGATTTTAATAAGAGTTTGAATTTTTGAATAACTCTTCCCGATTTTATCTTTTGAAAAAATCAGAAAAAATTTAAGAAATTTAATCTTATTAAAATCATTATCTCTTCTGAAAGTTCTTTCAAGTTAGAGCTAACATATTAATCTGTTACTATATATCAGATCCTTAACTCCAAATCTTATTCTGACTTCTCTCTAGGACCAGGGCTACTTAAAAGTATCCTGCTCGACTGGTGGGGCATGAGCTGGCCATAATAATAACATGACTCACACAGTGTCGTCTTGGAACACTCCTGGTACCTACTTCATCGGAGACTACTTGGGCAACTGTCAGAGTGGCTGTGAGTACATTGTCCATAGTATCAGAGTGTTCTCGTCTGAACTGCCTGGAGTTGCTGAAGACTTGTACGGAGCTGTCTACAATGGTAACAGTCAAGCTTATTTTTAGAGTGGTATTCTCAGTGAGGCAGTGGCACAAGAGAAGGAGGTGAGAGCTGTGACGATGGCAACTATAACAATGGGGATGGCTGCAGTTCTCTATGAGCGATTGAAACTAGGTGGACGTGATCTGGAGGAGATACCTCCAATCCAGACACTTGCTCTGATGACTGTGGAGATGGATTTGTTGTAGCTCCAATATCAACATATTGAGATGATGGCAACACAGATTCGAACGACGGGTGAAGCTCAACATGCCAGCCAGAATCTGGGTGGACTTGCACACTAGGAGACTCTTCAACAGCAAGTTTTTGCACCGACATTTGCGGAGATGGGAAAGTTATGAACCCAACTGTTGGATATTGAGATGATGGTAATACAGATGATGGAGATGGCTGATCAGCTACCTGAGCTGTTGAGCTAGGGTATGTGTGTAGTGGAGGTAACACAACTTCTAGCTCAGTTTGTACAGCTAGCTCTACTAGTGCAGCTTGTTCTGTTGAGAACTGCTCTAAATGAGTTTCAAATCAACTTACTAAATGAGAAACCTGTAATGAGGGTTTTGAGGTTAAAGAAGATAAATGTAGTGAAGTAAAGAAAGAAGATGAAACTATTTCTGCTGCTTCAGCTATTTCTACATCTCAAGCAACTATAGCAGGGATAATGGCAGCTGTCACGATCAGCTCGCTTGTCAACATGTCTCCTCTCACAGTTATGTGGGCAATGGCCAATCAAGTTCAGCTTTTGTTGCTACTCTTACTTACCAAAAGCAATATGCCTGACAAAATAGTGGAGTTTCTCACTTCAAATGAGTTTATGTCTTTCTCATTCGGATTTTTAAACTTCTTCACAGGAATTCCTGGACTCAGCACTATAAAAGAACGTTTCTACAAAGATCAAGACTTTCCTCGTTTGTCAACTCTTGGACTTGAGTCAGGAAGCACATTCTACAATGTATTCAACACTATGTTTATGCTGATGTTACTGATTCCTGCCCACATAGGAACTTTGCTGCTGCCCAAGTGCAAACAAGCTGCATATTCAGAGTCCAAAGTTAAAGTCAAGTGTGGAAAGGCTTACACTTCTCTGAAAGATTTTCTGTATGAACTGTTCCACTTCACAATTTATCTGAGAATATTGCTGGAAGCATACCAGTTCATGATGCTGTCTTCGGTCTCTGAGATTTACAGGATGCAATACAATGAACTTGCTTCATTCTCGGCTTGATGCATTGTGCTTGTGATTTGATTTCTGATTCTCTGCTTGACTTACTACATGTATTGGAGCACCAAGAAGTTCTATGACGATGAGCAACACTATCACTGCAAAGAGTTAGTCAGAGGCCTCAAGAACACAAAGAATGCAAGAAAATACTCGTTTTATTTGTTGCTGAGACGCTTTGTTCTGATATCTTGGCTCATCGGGATGAAATCATTCAGCAAATATTACCTGATTCTGTTCCTTTGTTCCTTCCAACTGTTCTACCTTGCAAGAATGGTCTACTTCAGGCCTTACAAAGAGGCAGTTGACAACTGAGTAGAAATTACAAATGAAGTATTCTTCACAGTTCTGTGTTGAGCTCTTGTGCATCTGAATACGACAGATGCATGGAAGGGAGCAAGCACTGACATATACATGTGGGTCTTACTATCAAATACTTTTGCTGTAGGAATAATAATGCTTAGTAAGTACTAATTTTATTAGTTGTAGTTGATTTGTTCAAAGGAGTTGTTATCAAGTTAAGAAAGAAGTGCACTAAAAAAGATGTAATTAAGCCTAAGCCTAAACCAAAAGTGCAAGAGAAGCGCAATGTAATCCTTTCTTATAATTATAGAATTCTCCTGTAATTGGTGAACCAAGAAAACACACAAAGCAGAGTAATGCAAAGTCCGACACCATGTCACTCTCCAGATTCTCTGCTAACCAAATGCTATCAACACCCTCCAAAGACATGAGTAACCCCTATCAATAACCTCTAGACCAAATCAAAGCGCCTCACCACGAAATCACGATTAAAAAACTGGACATAATAAAAGAAATCCCTACAAAAAGGGCCAACCTGATATAATAACTTATTCTTAATTCTTTATATCTATTCCTGCTTCTCCCACTTTTCCTTGGCAAGTGCCCTCTTGTTCGTTTAGGTCTGCCTTTAAATGTGGCTTATGGAAAAATTGGGATTTTTATGAAGGAATTTGTATGGGGATGGAATCAATGAGTGGGGGTTTACTTGGGGTTTTGGGGTTTTGGGGTTTTGGGGTTTTGGGGTTTTGGGG